ATTGCCCCCAACCCAATTATTTCTCCGAAGGAAGATCCTCTATTGCAGCTGCGTTTCCCCCATTATTAAAAACCCTTATATTCTAAAATTACTCTAAAAATCAAGGGCAACAATGTAATAGCCTCCCATTTTTTATTGAGATAAAATTAAATTATTTTAATCTTTTTTATATGTTATATATCAAGGTTAAAATTAATATACTTTTTTTAATTATATGTAGTTGTACAATTTATTTATTTATTTATTTTTATCTTGTTTTAATTTTATCTAAGATGTTTAAAATTAGCATTGAACGAATTTTAAAGTAATTAGTCGGAGAGAAAAAGAATAGAGAAAAGTTGAAGTTTACAAAAATAAATAAAAAGTGAGGAGGGCAAGCAAACTAATTTTAACGATAGAAAATAAAACAAAATCATATTTTAAAAGATATATCATAAAGTAAAATGTGTACAAAATTAAGAATTTTTTCTTTATGTAGGTATGTAATTTATACAATGACACAGTCTTTTTTTAAATTATAAAAAATTTAAGTATACAAATTATAAATGATAAGCTGTTTATTTATAAATAAAGATAAAAGGAAAAATAGTTTAAGAAGCTCCACATCTTATTAAATTAAAACTAAGAAAGTATTTTAAAAAAAGAAAAAAAGGGTGAAACGTCCAAATCAAATAACTTATTTATAAATTTGGGATAGAACATGTCATTATTTATATTTATTTTTATAATTATAATAACAATAATTTGATTATTCTTTGTTATTATAAAAGAAATTAAATATTAATTTGGTCTTATTTTTTCGAAATTATTCAATCAGTCATAATATTTTTTTTAATTTAATTCTAATTTTTGTTAATTTATCAATTTTATTTTATTTAATTTTTTTCTAACGTAGTTTAAATAAATGAATAACAGTCGTCTATTAGTTTTTCTGTTTTTCTTTTAATTTATTTGTTACTTTTTTAAAAATTTAGAAAACATATTTACGTATCAATTCAACGTCATGCTACATAAAAACATTAGTTTTTCTGTTTTTCTTTTAATTTATTTGTTACTTTTTTTAAAATTTAGAAAACATATTTACTTATCAATTCAAAATCAAGCTACATAAAAACAGTAGTGTCATGTGTCAATATAGGTTCAGGTTTTATATTTAGTTTGATCATATTTATAATTTTTGTTTAATTTAACTTCAATTTTTTGAAATTATTTAATTTATCAATTTTTAAATTGAAACCAAATTTAATTTTTATATAAATATTATATATATTAAGTTTTGCCATTTTATTAAACATTTTTTTTATAGAATTATAATTGGTATAAAATTAGAATAAAAATTTTAAGGGTGGAGACTAACCCTGTAACATTCCAAAAAATATAGTATAAACTATATAAATAGTAGTCAATATCATAATATGATAGAACAGTTAAAGACTTGCATATAAGGAGTTAATCTTACAATCATCCAAAATGGCTATAAAATTTAAAATTTAACTACAATAGAGTATTTCAAAACTATACAAAACAATTAGAAGATCCTCACTAAACTAAACAGCGGCGTCATCACCCTCCAAGACCTGCTCCAAAGGAACCTCATCTACCTCTGCTCACATCCAAATGGATGATCATTGCAAAAGAAAACACCACACGAGCAACATACAAACACAAGCAGAAAGGTGAGCTAGATAAACAAAGATCATACAATTAAGATAACCTATAACATGCAAAGTTCAATCAAACACATAATACTAAAATATACATCCTACCATGTTAAATTCTAGACTTGACTCGTCCGGACTTAGAATAATTGTCGAGCTATGGCGGGTTATGCACACGTGGTGGCCTCTACTGCTTTGCAAAGTCATTGTCAATGAGTTTCACCTTGCCACCCTCACGAGGTTAGTCTGTTCCGGACCTTGAGGCATACTGGAAGCCCTCAAGACTAAGACCTCCTGCTACTCCTCACCATATGGTTCAATCCTCTCTACTTAAGAATGAAAGACCATTAGAGTTTCAGGAAAACCCATAAGACTGAGCTCCCTGCAATTATTCTAAACAACCTGGAATCTCACCAAGAGATTCTATATTGATCTTACATTCATCCCCTTGAATCACATACTTTTACTTGTAATTTCAATCATAATCATACATATTTATATACTGCGATACACCTTAAACACACTTCACAAGATATATCAACATTTAATAGAATTCCATCCCATATAATAGCAAAAGAGAGAAATCTACTTACCACCATTCGCTTTGCGCACCCAATTTGCAAGGCAAGATCAGGAGTCACTCGCATAGCGATTTGTCTCTTTATGCGAATTAACTCACAGAGGTACCAGACCTCAACCTCTCGCATAGCGGACCCAGGTCGCTATGCGAGAACCCCAAGCACAGACTAACCTTCCCAAACCACTCGCTATGCTATCCTTTTTGCCATTCGAATAAAATTAGAATTAACCCCAGACCACAACCAAGCGCATAGCGCCTTGATTCGCCATGCGAATCACTAGACAGAGAGCAACACACTCCAACCATTCGCACAACGCCCAAACTCGCTATGCGAATATACAAACAGAGAGCAACCTCTCACGTCATTCGCACAGCGCACCAACTCGCTGTGTGAATGCCCTTGGCAGAGAGCACCTTGTCATAGCGACTCGCTATGCAAACTACTTGCACAACGAGTCTGCATAATCTGTAGAACGTAATTTTGCATATTTATGCAACTCAAACACCACATACCTATTCTAACTATTTTCCTCAACTTATAACACTCTTAGGTTGTATTATACACCTAATTAGACTTGTCTAAGTGATTCTAAACATGCCTACCACAAATCTAAAGAGATTATGAACCAATTCCCACTCTAAAACATTATATTTCACAACTTAGAGAGCCAAAATCAATTCTACCACTTTGCACATGTTTTTGACCATTTGAAAGACTCATACAAGTCACAAATGACTTACCCCAAAATGCCTAAACAGACTAAATGAACTCCTAACCTCTAAGTCTCACATTCACTACCTCATTTCCTCTAAAATTGACCTAAAACACTACCAATTCACTTAACATTCCATATAATAGCTAATATAACATAATACCATCACCTAACATATCCAATTACAGTTGCACAGTACATCAAAATCAGCTCACAAACAACATTCCCCAGATTCAACATTTTTCATTCAAAGCATACATGATTTAACTTACACAAGTACTACATTTAAGCTCAAACAGCAACAACATGCAGAATTCAATACACACACCTATTAAACTACAAATTTAAACAGAAATCTAGCTCCCCTACCTCAGAGATTCACAGTCCAGTTCACCGGATCACCTCTACAGTACCTTGTACCGCAAGGAAACTCAACAGGACCCTACAAATCACCAATTGGTGATCAAGAACAGCTCTTAGAGCTAGAATTGGACAGAGAATGAACAAGAGAACACACAAAACACATGCAACCAGTAGAGATTGCATGGTCTTGGTTCAAGACCAGACAAGATTGCATGGTCTATGAAGAACAACTTACCCGTTGGAATCGAAAAATTGATCGGTCAGTTATGAAGCCCGCTACGCCGTGGATGTCTGGGCACCTCCTAATCGTCAATCCAACAGCTCAGTGAAGAGAAAAGCTAGAGAGAAGGCAGAGAACGAATAGAGAACGGAGGTTTTAGTGAGATGAAGTGATTTAGATAATGAACTGAGCTTTAGTAAGTTATATCTATATTATACGATTATTTTAAAATTAAGAAGCTCTTCTCATTATTTCAATCCACTTATCTATTCTATTACTCTATTTTCCAGGTTCTTACAAACACCTTTAGTATATTTTTATAAATATATATATATATATATATATATATATATAATAAATTTATTTTATAATCGATTAATGTAAAATTTTGTTTGATAGTTGATGTTATTTTTAATACTCTACGTGAAATTAAAATTTTAAACCAATGGTTTTGAGTTAGTCTATACCAATTAACATGTAGACATTTTTTCTTTAAATTAAAAAAAACATAAACAAAAAAGAACAGTAATATGCGACTTATATTTTAATTATTTAAATGGTGCTAAAAAATGTTAAATTAAACAAAAATTAATGAAAATAAAAACTAAATTAGACAAAAGAATAATATTATTACTAAATTGAAAAAACAAAAATAAAGATTAAATTAAAATTTAAGTATAAAAAAAAGTGAATACACATGTGTTTTCACTAACTTTTTATCAGTGTTCACTTAATGAGAATAAAAGTAATTAAAAATATTCTATTAAAAATAAATTTTATGAATATTGTTATTTTTATTTAATAATAGTGATATATGTTTAACATGCAGTAAGTTATACCGGAGTATGATTCTCAGAAGTTTTACAAACTTTGTTTGAAAATGAACCGATCGAATCACACAAAAAGAGAATATGAAGTTTCAAATTAGTCCATATACATAAACATTGTTAAAAGTCAAGCTTCATTTGGTCTGCTAGGGCGCTCAACGATCTCATATTAGGTAGAATAAAGCAACCCATGGAATTAGCAATCAAGAAATTGCTTTCCACATGCATTTCGTACATCTTGGCTCACAAAATGCTAGCATAAATAATACATATGATACTAACATTGAGTCGAAAAATTATATTTCGATTTCATGTCACCTAAAGGGAAAGATAAAAACAATCAGAATTGTTTGAGCCTTTTCAGTTTGCCACTGGCTGCAGACACCTCCTTAACAAGGTCCATCTGACAGGAGACTTTCTCAGGTCCACTCAACCCGAAGCAGGAATCGTTGGCCCCTAAAGTAATCGCAAAATATAGATATATGATACAGAGAACAGTCAGTAGAGCAAGAGCAGATAAGAGGAACAGGTGCCTCTTCACCAATGCTGACCAACTACCCAGCTCATGCCTTGCAAACTGCCTCTTGAAAGATGGTGACCTCAGAACAGGAGTAGACAAAATGGAGTCAAGAACCATGGCTTCTACAATCACTTACACTGCCTGAATGTGTACAATATCTCACAATTAGCAGCACTCAGAGAAAATTCAATCCACAATATGAACAACAATCGTAGTCTTATCCCGTTAGATGCACTTAGTTTAGCTATATGGATTATACAACTTCATTGGATTCAATCAAAAACTGTACAATTTGGAATATTATTAGTCTTTCTTGACATACCTTTTCTCATGAAGTTTAATGGCACACGTGATTCCAATTGGATTATTTTCTTTTTTGTGGAGGATAGCATATACTTGCTAATCAATTTTAAATATATTTTTAGAATAGCTTGTTCACAAAAACATGGACTTTTGGTCCTCCCGAATGCATTAAAATAGGGCTAGTAGAGATGCAATGTAGAAGAGAACAGTATCAGGTTGCCCCCACATTAAACAATCCACGATAAATCCTACCATTATTTTCCTTTTATTTCATCAATTATTTTTAATCCAAGACCTAGTCTAACAGCCACAACTGCAATAACATGTGGGAAAAGAAAATCAACGTTCAACAGATAATAGTAGCACAACACAAGAAAAATAAAAACAACGCCTCAACACGTTTGCATTCCCCACCAATCGGCATAGCAGATTTAACACAAACCTCACCCACCGTCAGAACTAACCTGCTGGCAATTCCTAATTACCTTAACCCCATTGATCCAATCTTCTACAACCCACATCCCAATCAAAACAAGACAATTACCAATCACGCAAAACGCACACAACTAGCTCAGAAAATGAAGAACGTACTGAAAATTAAACGGACCTTGTACGAAAGAGCACCTGAACCAAAACAGCTGGTTTGGGAAAATTAATTGCTCCAACAGCCGTAGGGGAAAAAAATCCCCCCTTTGTGAATGCCTACGTAACAAGATAGGAAGGTTTAAAAATAAGAGAAGGGATCGGAAAATCCGCGGAAAAAGGCTAAGAATGATGGATGATAAGGTTAGAGGAGTGAATAAGAGAAGAAAAAAAGGCGTTACCCTTGATTTCGAAGGTCGGGAAAAAACGCTTCTTTCGTGAAGAGCTTTGAGGTTGTAATGTAACGAATATGTATGGAAAGCTCTTGGTGTTCAGTGTGATGCCATGTGAGAAGAACCATCTTCAACCAATAACATTAAACGGCATTTTACGCTAAGCAAAAATTAAGAGAATTCTAATTTTAAATCAATCCCTTAGCTACCAAAATTTTCTAACTATTTATATATATATATATATTTAAAATTAGTAGCTCTATACTTCCATTACTCATTGTATAGTTTAATTTAAATTGCCTATAAATGCCATTAAATAAATTACGTGGAAGAAATTTTTAGCATAAAGCAAAATTTTAATACAAAAGTTTTGAAAGAATTTTGAGGTCCCTTATCCAACCAAACTAGATCTAGAAAAAAAAGTATAAAAGTAGATAAAATTAATTAATACATGAATAAAAAAAGTAGAAATATTATTAAAAAAATTAATTAATAGATTAGTTTGTAAATAAACTTATTCTATTTTTTTCATTTATAAATAATTTTTTTTAAAGAGTTGTATAGAATAAATAGACGCAAGCTCCCATGTAAACTTGTACTTAATGCATTTGTCAGTCGAGACAATAAATTACAAAATGTTATCAATTAATCATATTTAATTACCGTTATTAATTTTTAACAAATAACATGGTATTTTGATTCTAATATTAATTTACTGAGTTAGTACACTTAGTTAAACGAAAATATCTTATAACTCACAAAATACAGAACGTCCATTTTACTGAAAACTAAAAGCTATCAGCATTACATTCTTCAACACATCTTNAAAAAAAAAAGGACATCAATCTAACACCTAAAGAGTTTCTCAGAATATAAACACAATTGGAAAAAATCAAATAATGAGGAAGAAGTAGGGGGCAACCTGGACTTCAGATGAGGGTTTGGTCTTGAGCATTAAGCAATCAACCATGGCTTTCCATTGGCGGGAACAATTGTCAAGAACGCCAAGCCTGTAATACTGCTGCATTTGATGAACCGGCGCTGCAAACATCAAAGACACAAACTTTACGACAAATTGGACGACCCAATTGAAAAAGACATGAAGATTTATTTAGGTTTTGGGGAAAATAGGTATTACAGTAGCAGAACCAGAGCGCGTCGAAGTTAGCAGTGCACGATACTTTGCGATTAGGAGTGGAGCTTGAAGCTTCCTTCTCCTCCGAGGACGTCATTGCCCCCAACCCAATTATTTCTCCGAAGGAAGATCCTCTATTGCAGCTGCGTTTCCCCCATTATTAAAAACCCTTATATTCTAAAATTACTCTAAAAATCAAGGGCAACAATGTAATAGCCTCCCATTTTTTATTGAGATAAAATTAAATTATTTTAATCTTTTTTATATGTTATATATCAAGGTTAAAATTAATATACTTTTTTTAATAATATGTAGTTGTACAATTTATTTATTTATTTATTTTTATCTTGTTTTAATTTTATCTAAGATGTTTAAAATTAGCATTGAACGAATTTTAAAGTAATTAGTCGGAGAGAAAAAGAATAGAGAAAAGTTGAAGTTTACAAAAATAAATAAAAAGTGAGGAGGGCAAGCAAACTAATTTTAACGATAGAAAATAAAACAAAATCATATTTTAAAAGATATATCATAAAGTAAAATGTGTACAAAATTAAGAATTTTTTCTTTATGTAGGTATGTAATTTATACAATGACACAGTCTTGTTTTAAATTATAAAAAATTTAAGTATACAAATTATAAATGATAAGCTGTTTATTTATAAATAAAGATAAAAGGAAAAATAGTTTAAGAAGCTCCACATCTTATTAAATTAAAACTAAGAAAGTATTTTAAAAAAAGAAAAAAAGGGTGAAACGTCCAAATCAAATAACTTATTTATAAATTTGGGATAGAACATGTCATTATTTATATTTATTTTTATAATTATAATAACAATAATTTGATTATTCTTTGTTATTATAAAAGAAATTAAATATTAATTTGGTCTTATTTTTTCGAAATTATTCAATCAGTCATAATATTTTTTTTAATTTAATTCTAATTTTTGTTAATTTATCAATTTTATTTTATTTAATTTTTTTCTAACGTAGTTTAAATAAATGAATAACAGTCGTCTATTAGTTTTTCTGTTTTTCTTTTAATTTATTTGTTACTTTTTTTAAAATTTAGAAAACATATTTACTTATCAATTCAAAATCAAGCTACATAAAAACAGTAGTGTCATGTGTCAATATAGGTTCAGGTTTTATATTTAGTTTGATCATATTTATAATTTTTGTTTAATTTAACTTCAATTTTTTGAAATTATTTAATTTATCAATTTTTAAATTGAAACCAAATTTAATTTTTATATAAATATTATATATATTAAGTTTTGCCATTTTATTAAACATTTTTTTTATAGAATTATAATTGGTATAAAATTAGAATAAAAATTTTAAGGGTGGAGACTAACCCTGTAACATTCCAAAAAATATAGTATAAACTATATAAATAGTAGTCAATATCATAATATGATAGAACAGTTAAAGACTTGCATATAAGGAGTTAATCTTACAATCATCCAAAATGGCTATAAAATTTAAAATTTAACTACAATAGAGTATTTCAAAACTATACAAAACAATTAGAAGATCCCCACTAAACTGCGTCATCACCTTCCAAGGCCTGCTCCAGAGGAACTTCATCTGCCTCTGCTCACATCCAAATGGATGATCATTGCAAAAGAAAACACCACACGAGCAACATACAAACACAAGCAGAAAGGTGAGCTAGATAAACAAAGATCATACAATTAAGATAACCTATAACATGCAAAGTTCAATCAAACACATAATACTAAAATATACATCCTACCATGTTAAATTCTAGACTTGACTTGTCCGGACTTCGAATAATTGTCGAGCTATGGCGGGTTATGCACACGTGGTGGCCTTTATTGCTTTGCAAAGTCATTGCCACCCTCACGAGGTTAGTCTGTTCCGGACCTTGAGGCATACTGGAAGCCCTCAAGACTAAGACCTCCTGCTACTCCTCACCACATGGTTCAATCCTCTCTACTTGAGCATGAAAGACCATTAGAGTTTCAGGAAAACCCCCAAGATTGAGCTCCCTGCAATTATTTTAAACAACCTGGAATCTCACCAAGAGATTCTATACTGATCTTACATTCATCCTCCTGAATCACATACTTTTACTTGTAATTTTAATCATAATCATACATATTTATATACTGCCATACACCTTAAATATACTTCACAAGATATATCAACATTTAATAGAATTCCATCCCATATAATAGCAAAAGAGAGAAATCTGCTTACCACCATTCGCTTTGCGCACCCAATTCGCAAGGCAAGATCAGGACTCATTCACATAGCGATTTTTCTCGCTATGCGAATTAACTCACAGAGGTACCAAACCTCAACCTCTCGCATAGCGGACCCAGGTCGCTATGCGAGAACCCCAAGCACAGACTAACCTTCCCAAACCACTCGCTATGTTATCCTTTTTGCCATTCAAATAAAATTAGAATTAACCCCAGACCACAACCAAGCGCATAGCACCTTGATTCGCCATGCGAATCACTAGACAGATAGCAACCCACTCCAACCATTCGCACAATGCCCAAACTCGCTATGCGAATATACAAACAGAGAGCAACCTCTCACGTCATTCACACAGCGCACCAACTCGTTGTGCGAATGCCCTTGGCAGAGAGCACCTTGTCATAGCGACTCGCTATGCGAAACTACTCGCACAACGAGTCTGCATAATCTGTAGAACGTAATTTTGCAGATTTATGCAACTCAAACACCAAATACCTATTCTAACTATTTTCCTCAACTTATAACACTCTTAGGTTGTATTATACACCTAATTAGACTTGTCTAAGTGATTCTAAACACGCCTACCATAAATCAAAAGAGATTATGAACCAATTCCCACTCTAAAACATTCTATTTCACAACTTAGAGAGCCAAAATCAATTCTACCACTTTGCATAGGTTTTTGACCATTTGAAAGACTCATACAAGTCACAAATGACCTACCCAAAATGCCTAAACAGACTAAATGAACTCCTAACCTCTAAGTCTCAAATTCACTACCTCATTTCCTCTAAAATTGACCTAAAACACTACAAATTCACTTAACATTCCATATAATAGCTAATATAACAGAATATCATCACCTAACATATCCAATTACACTTGCACCATCAAAATCAGCTCACAAACAACATTCCCCAGATTCAACATTTTTCATTCAAAGCATACATGATTTAAATTACACAAGTACTACATTTAAGCTCAAACAGCAACAACATGCAGAATTCAATACACACACCTATCAAACTACAAATTTAAATAGAAATCTAGCTTCCCTACCTCAGAGATTCACAGTCCAGTTCACTGGATCACCTCTACAGTACCTTGTACCGCAAGGAAACTCAACAAGACCCTACAAATCACCAACTGATGATCAAGAACAACTCTTAGAGCTAGAATTGGACAAAGAATGAACAAGAGAACACACAAAACACATGCAACCAGTAGAGATTGCATGGTCTAGGTTCAAGACAGCGGAGGAAAAGAGAAGAACAGCTTACCCACTGGAATCGAGAAATTGATCAGTCAGTTATGAAGCCCGCTACGCCGTGGATGTCTGGGCACCTCCTAATCGTCAATCCAACAACTCAGTGAAGAGAAAAGCTAGAGAGAAGGCAGAGAACGAGTAGAGAACGGAGGTTTTAGAGAGATGAAGTGATTTAGATAATGAACTGAGCTTTAGTAAGTTATATCTATATTATACAATTATTTTAAAATTAAGAAGCTCGTCTCATTATTTCAATCCACTTATCTATTCTATTACTCTATTTTCCAGGTTCTTACGAACACCACTAGTATATTTTTATAAATATATATATATATATATATATAATAAATTTATTTTATAATCGATTAATATAAAATTTTGTTTGATAGTTGATGTTATTTTTAATACTCTACGTGATTTGTAGTCTATTAAAATTTTAAACCAATGGTTTTGAGTTAGTCTATACTAATTAACATGTAGACATTTTTTCTTTAAATTAAAAAAAAACATAAACAAAAAAGAACAGTAATATGCGACTTATATTTTAATTATTTGAATGGTGCTAAAATATGTTAAATTAAATAAAAATTAATGAAAATAAAAACTAAATTAAACAAAAGAATAATATTATTACTAAATTGAAAAAACAAAAATAAAGATTAAATTAAAATTTAAGTATAAAAAAAAGTGAATACACATGTGTTTTCACTAACTTTTTATCAGTATCACTTAATGAGAATAAAAGTAATATTTAAAAATATTCTATTAAAAATAAATTTTATGAATATTGTTATTTTTATTTAATAATAGTGATATATGTTTAATATGCAGTAAGTTATACCGGAGTATGATTCTCAGAAGTTTTACAAATTTTGTTTGAAAATGAACCGATCGAATCACACAAAAAGAGAATATGAAGTTTCAAATTAGTCCATATACATAAACATTGTTAAAAGTCAAGCTTCATTTGGTCTGCTAGGGCGCTCAACGATCTCATATTAGGTAGAATAAAGCAACCCATGGAATTAGCAATCAAGAAATTGCTTTCCACATGCATTTCGTACATCTTGGCTCACAAAATGCTAGCATAAATAATACATATGATACTAACATTGAGTCGAAAAATTATATTTCGATTTCATGTCACCTAAAGGGAAAGATAAAAACAATCAGAATTGTTTGAGCCTTTTCAGTTTGCCACTGGCTGCAGACACCTCCTTAACAAGGTCCATCTGACAGGAGACTTTCTCAGGTCCACTCAACCCGAAGCAGGAATCGTTGGCCCCTAAAGTAATCGCAAAATATAGATATATGATACAGAGAACAGTCAGTAGAGCAAGAGCAGATAAGAGGAACAGGTGCCTCTTCACCAATGCTGACCAACTACCCAGCTCATGCCTTGCAAACTGCCTCTTGAAAGATGGTGACCTCAGAACAGGAGTAGACAAAATGGAGTCAAGAACCATGGCTTCTACAATCACTTACACTGCCTGAATGTGTACAATATCTCACAATTAGCAGCACTCAGAGAAAATTCAATCCACAATATGAACAACAATCGTAGTCTTATCCCGTTAGATGCACTTAGTTTAGCTATATGGATTATACAACTTCATTGGATTCAATCAAAAACTGTACAATTTGGAATATTATTAGTCTTTCTTGACATACCTTTTCTCATGAAGTTTAATGGCACACGTGATTCCAATTGGATTATTTTCTTTTTTGTGGAGGATAGCATATACTTGCTAATCAATTTTAAATATATTTTTAGAATAGCTTGTTCACAAAAACATGGACTTTTGGTCCTCCCGAATGCATTAAAATAGGGCTAGTAGAGATGCAATGTAGAAGAGAACAGTATCAGGTTGCCCCCACATTAAACAATCCACGATAAATCCTACCATTATTTTCCTTTTATTTCATCAATTATTTTTAATCCAAGACCTAGTCTAACAGCCACAACTGCAATAACATGTGGGAAAAGAAAATCAACGTTCAACAGATAATAGTAGCACAACACAAGAAAAATAAAAACAACGCCTCAACACGTTTGCATTCCCCACCAATCGGCATAGCAGATTTAACACAAACCTCACCCACCGTCAGAACTAACCTGCTGGCAATTCCTAATTACCTTAACCCCATTGATCCAATCTTCTACAACCCACATCCCAATCAAAACAAGACAATTACCAATCACGCAAAACGCACACAACTAGCTCAGAAAATGAAGAACGTACTGAAAATTAAACGGACCTTGTACGAAAGAGCACCTGAACCAAAACAGCTGGTTTGGGAAAATTAATTGCTCCAACAGCCGTAGGGGAAAAAAATCCCCCCTTTGTGAATGCCTACGTAACAAGATAGGAAGGTTTAAAAATAAGAGAAGGGATCGGAAAATCCGCGGAAAAAGGCTAAGAATGATGGATGATAAGGTTAGAGGAGTGAATAAGAGAAGAAAAAAAGGCGTTACCCTTGATTTCGAAGGTCGGGAAAAAACGCTTCTTTCGTGAAGAGCTTTGAGGTTGTAATGTAACGAATATGTATGGAAAGCTCTTGGTGTTCAGTGTGATGCCATGTGAGAAGAACCATCTTCAACCAATAACATTAAACGGCATTTTACGCTAAGCAAAAATTAAGAGAATTCTAATTTTAAATCAATCCCTTAGCTACCAAAATTTTCTAACTATTTATATATATATATATATTTAAAATTAGTAGCTCTATACTTCCATTACTCATTGTATAGTTTAATTTAAATTGCCTATAAATGCCATTAAATAAATTACGTGGAAGAAATTTTTAGCATAAAGCAAAATTTTAATACAAAAGTTTTGAAAGAATTTTGAGGTCCCTTATCCAACCAAACTAGATCTAGAAAAAAAAGTATAAAAGTAGATAAAATTAATTAATACATGAATAAAAAAAGTAGAAATATTATTAAAAAAATTAATTAATAGATTAGTTTGTAAATAAACTTATTCTATTTTTTTCATTTATAAATAATTTTTTTTAAAGAGTTGTATAGAATAAATAGACGCAAGCTCCCATGTAAACTTGTACTTAATGCATTTGTCAGTCGAGACAATAAATTACAAAATGTTATCAATTAATCATATTTAATTACCGTTATTAATTTTTAACAAATAACATGGTATTTTGATTCTAATATTAATTTACTGAGTTAGTACACTTAGTTAAACGAAAATATCTTATAACTCACAAAATACAGAACGTCCATTTTACTGAAAACTAAAAGCTATCAGCATTACATTCTTCAACACATCTTTTTGCTTATTAATTTTATTACATAAATTACATAAATTTCATTTTATAAATCTACTAAATAAATGATATTGGTGTATATTTGCGTGTTCTGCAAAAAAAATTGGTTAAATATTTTTTAATATTCAAATTTTGACCTTAAAATTAAAATTAATTTATATTCAAATTTTTAATTAATTATATTAATTTTTTATGTGTCAAATATATTTTTTGGTTAACGAAAATATACTAAACAATGTAGGTAATATAAATACTAACTAAAAGACCTTTTAACATATAAAAAGATTAATATAATTAAATTAAGAGAACTATTTTTTTAATTTAAAAATTAAAATATAAAATTTTAGAGATTAAACCTTATTTAAAAAAATTAGAAATAATTTTTGAATTATTTTAAAATAACAAAAAATCAATGGACGAAATCAAAATTTACCCATTATATTTGAAATCTTATTAAATTATTTGTTTGACTTTTGCTCTGAAGTGTCCAACACAAACTAAACTCTTATGCTTAATGATGACATCAATAAATTTTAATAATTGTTTCATTGCCCAACACAAACTAAACTCTTGATTAAGGGTTGACAAAGAAACCTAATAATTGTATCAATCTAGTAGATATAGTAATCATGCTTAACTAATGTGGTTCAGCAAAAAAATCTAAAATCATCTTTGTCATTCTTAAAATTTATTATGCTGAAACACAAATAACACCAAAATCATTTATATGAAATAACACATTAAATTAATTCTCAAAAGCAAGCACAAGTTAACTTGATTTAAAATTTAATATTAAATACCACTTTGAAATGCAAAAGAAGAATAATAAAATAATTAACATTTATTAACTTCAATAATAAAGTAACATTTTTTTATAGTTTTAGGTTAATTTTTATAATTTAGAAACTATTAAACCAATTGGCGAGTGACAGATAAAAATTATCCCCCATGAGCAGAGGAAAAACACTCTGTATTGGCCCAAAAAATGCAGCTAAAGCCTTTAACCGTCCAGATTGACAAGAAATTGAAACTCAAGGTAAATTATTTTTATTAAACATGACATTAATACGGAATTATTTTTATTTGTTCTTTTGTATTCTATCTCCATTGACATTTATTATTTCTTAGGATTAGGTGTTTTTTCAATGAATAATAATCTAAGACAAAGTTAAGGGAAATAAATTTCATGGAAGACAATGTTACATTTACTTCATTCTCCATCATAACTTTCCCAATCTTTCACTCGTTAAAGGAAATATTAACACACCAACTCAAGACTTGTACTGTAATAGTAACACAAACAAATCAATCCCAGCGAATACTATTATGCTATACGAATTCCCCATTCACTTTAGAACAGAAAACGATGAAGGGCCAAAGACAAAAGCATGATTGCTACCCGAGTTGCGTCCTCTGATGCATTCCACGTCCAGCACATGCGAATGATCAATGCAGAGGTTCACCTGAACAAACCGGAAAAATAATGCCAAAATCTGTTACATAGGTTTTTTATTCTTGTCTAGTAACTGTAACTAAATAAAATTATTTAGTTGAGCATTACCTTTGGACTATATTGTCTGATGAACCACTCAGAGATTCTCTGATTTGATGCTTCAAACATAGTCTTCTCAAGACCAAGGCGCCCTATGATCTTGGCAACAATATCTCCACGCATCTTATCAGCATGTTGGCTAACACCCAAAGCATCAATCATTATCATGTCCGCATCTTCTTTTAGACATCTCTCAGCCTTTCTGATTAAGAGGTCCACATCTTCTACAAATTCTGAGGAAAAAAAATTCAACCAAGGTTTAACCAATACATTGCGCTGATTCTACATTTTTCATTGCTAATCAACCTTCGGTAGTGACTGAGAATTTCACAAAACACCATTCAAAACAAAAAATAGTAGCACTTAAAACTATTAATATGTCCAGCATCAACGTATTCAAATAAAGATATGCAATACGGTGCTGGACACCCACCTCCCCCTCCCCCCATTTGATGCTATATACATTGACAAAGTGAAGGAATCCGTAATAGGCATACGTTCATCCTTCTGATTAAGAAATTTATCCAAATTGGAACCAAAACCCCTTTCAACTTCTAAATTTAAATTTGATCTTCCGTGTGAACTTTCTTACGACAAAGTTCATA